GTCTTGTTCCTCTGTCCCCAGGGTGAGAGGGGTGGTAAGAATTGTGACTGTCGTGGCCCAACCCAGTGTGTGTGTGTGTGTGTGAGTGAGAGAGAGAGAATGACAGAGAAAGACAGGAGAAGATGACAGAGAGACAGAGAGTGGGGGGTGAATGACAGAGACAGAGACAGAGAGGAGAAGGAGGAGGTGGGGAGAAGGGGAGAGGAGGGGGAGCAGAGAGGAACACCAGTGGGTAGGATTGCTGCATCGGCCACCTCTCCTACCTGTCCCCCGTCCCCTGCCCTTTTCCTCTTAGTCTGTTCTCTGAGTATGCAAGACACACACGGGATCTAGAGGGTGTTTACAAACAAAAGCTGGGAGTGGGTGGGACGGCAGGTATGGCCAGCAGATGAAGCCAGGAGACCCCCAGAGGTGCCCAGTGGGGGTGCCGAGGGAAGACGACGGGGACATGAACGTGCTCCATCTGGTGCTCGCGGGTGCCCGGCCCCAGGTAGGCTCCTTGCAGCCATATTTTACCAAATTCACACAGTGCTCCCCCGGGTTCGCTATTGCTTTACCCCCGTGTTTGAGATGACAAAGCTGAGGCTAAAGGATGTAGAGACACTTGCCCAAGTGAAAGTTGGACCCAAGTTTGTCTGAGCCCAAAGCCACGTGGGGAGGGGGGACTTTAGGCGGGTCCTCCAGGTGGCAGTCGCTGCAGCCTCCGGGAATCGATTCAGCGGACAAGCGGGCAGAACCCTCTGCCCCCCACTCGGCTGGGACGTGGCCAGAGCCGACGCTGCCACGGGTTTCCCCGAGGGTGGCCCTCAGCGCTGAGGATCGTCACCATCATCCTCACACTGCTCAGGGGAGAGGACTTTCTGCCCACCTGGGAGATGAGCCCCCGTCTTCTGTCCCACGGTGAGGTTCCCTGGGCGTGAGTGATGTGACTGCAGCCCCAGCACCCAGCGCAAGGTAGGAACTTCAGCTGTGGTTTGTTGAACTGCATTAGAAACCAAGAGGAGAGCATGTTTCCTGACATGTCACGCCCCTCTTGGGTGCAGAGGAAATGGGTCCTGGACGTCGTGACCCATTTCCATCTCTCAGGCCCTGTTTGCCTTGAGGAGCTGCCGGGGCTCCCAACAGGGACCAGGGGGCCAAAGGTGCTTGTCCCTGGGCAGCTCCAGGGCAAGGATGCTGGGGACCCTCCGCAGTCTGGGGGACAAGGAGAATGACAGGCGGAGGGCAGATAAAGGCCTGCAGGTGGACAGTCTGTGCCAGCCAGGGTCCCCGGTGGGTTGCTGCTCGAGAACCGGGAGCAGGGGTGTCAGCCTCGCAGGGGGAGAGCGCGGGGTGCCCGTCAGGGAGTGAGAAGGTGATCTTACCTCCTCCCTTTGCGCTGGGGCCGCAGCCTGACCCGGAGGCCGAGAGGCTTTGCAGAAGCGCTGGGGACCCGCATGTGGCGCTGGTCTGGCGGGACGGGCCAGGCAGGGAGTGGACAGAGGAGCTGGAGTCCAGAGACGACGCCAGGCTTAACACACCGAACGGCGTGCTTGAAAGGGGTCAGATGCTAAATCTTGGGTGCATTTTACCACAATTTGAGCAAGAGGTGGGGGGTGGAGAAAGAGAGAATGAGAACACCAGGCTGGGCCTCCCTAGTCCCCAACTCTCCTCCGAGGACAAGGCCCAGTGGCAAAGCCGTCACTGACCAAAGACAAGGTGAAACAAATGGGAAACGCCTTGAGTTTGTGCTCTGCGTAGGATTTATTCCACTGATTGATGATGGCTCTTCTCCAGAGAGCGCGTCCTTCCTACGTAGGTGGGGAATGAGGGCTGGTGGGGGCAGCTGTGCCTTCTTTTAAGGTTTATGTTCTGTCCTCCAAGCCCTCATTGGACAAAATTAAAAGCTGCCCCACATAGAGTGTTCTTTCCGAAAAAACTAGAAACCCTGAAGTTTGGGAGCCTGCTTGGGGGGCGGGGGGAGCAGCCGGAGGTTGCTCGGTGTGGGATTCCCAGAGGGAGATAAGAGAAGCAGGAGAGGGACATCGTGGGAATCTGTGCAAATGGGCCAAGAGAGGTCAAAGCCTGCCGGCCGTGGTCTTTAAAGAAAAATCCAGAAGCCCCCTGGCCTTGCCTGGGCCCCGGCCATTTGTGCACCCCCAGGATCTGTGGCTTTCTCTCCCCGGGGCAGTGGGCAGAAGCGCCCTGTGCTGCTTTTCATTTTAGTCCAATGCAACAAGCATCCTTCGAGTCCTTCCTCTGTGCCAGACTTCGTGCTGGAAGATCGTGGTGAACAAAGCCAGTCCCCGCCTTCGAGGAGCTCACAGACCAGGGAGAGGGTTTGTGCCGTGGAAGATGCCCTTGACTTTGCCCGCCTGCCCTCCCAGAGGGAGCAGACCCCGTCACAGGAGCTGGAAGGGCCGCACAGGGAAGATGCTGGGAACACTCAGGATAGGTGTGGGGTGTCGCTCGGAGGTTACCGTGGTGACTGTGCCCCACGCGGGCAGAGGAGTGGAGGGTCAGGGGAGCTGGCGGCTGGGCAGGGCAAGGACAGGACCTGGGCGCAGCAGGAGGGGGAAACAGACGGGAAGGTGTTGGGCTGGGCCGGCTCCTGGAGCAAGACAGCGGGAGAGGGTCCGGGAGGGTTGGTGGGAGGCCCAAGGCCGAGGCTGTCACATGCGAGATTTTCAACACTACATAGTTTATTGTTTCTATTAATAACACCATTACTAGTCTATAGTCATGGTAAAAATCTGTGGTTGGAAGTACCAAATTAAGAAACCCACTTTTCCCCACAGGGGATTTTTCTGGGTTGGCAGCAATCACACTTCAGTGATCAGCGTGCCGGGAATTAGGATAATCTCTTGCCCCTTCCCACCTCGCGCCCTCGGTCACTCCCCGGAGCAGGGGCGCTGAGGGACCCCGAGGGAGGCTGCGCCTGCGGTTGTCGGGCCGGGCTGCCTGCCTGCTCCCCGAGTCCTGGGATGCCACAGCTTCCCTTGCGTCTGTCATTGCAGTGTCTCTTACAGGGGGGGCAGCACCGTGATCGCCAGGGAGGCCCTTGTGTCCCGGGACCACAGGGGTCCTGCCCTAATCCTTCTCCCAGGGGACCTGAGCTAATCCATCGGGGGCTTCCCCGCTCCCCTCACCCCAGTCTGATTGTCCCCAGTGCAGGCCAGCAGTGCAGGAGGTGTGGACAGCCACCCCCTTGCTGCACCACGGCAGGCATCCAGAATTGATCGTGGAGCGTTTCCCCTGCCCCCTGCCCCCAGCAGACCTCGCTCACGGGCCTCAAAACCACTCCTGGCAGCTGCTGCCAATTAGTCACATGTGTCAGGTGAGGAGAACCTGTCTGACATCCTTGAACCTGATACCAGCCCCACACAAAACTCAATTCTGGCCTCCTTTTTCTTTTTTCTTTTGTAATTGATGTTAAAATCAGGGTGTTCCCAATCAAATCTCACTTTTCCTTCATCCCTTACCAGAGTGAGACAAGCTGAACTCAGAAAGCAGGAAATGCGAGGAGGCACGACCAGGCAGGACTTTCAGGGGTGGCAGATGGAGGAGAAAATGCTCACTTCCCTGCGGGAGGAACACACCCGGGCCTGGGGCTGTTGGAGTGGAGGACTTTTAGAGACCGCCTTGTTCCCACCTTGTGCCCATCTGACCGGTTAGGATCTGGAGCCTCAGCAGCCCCTATTCAGCCAGTGGGCTCAGGGAGTCAGTCCCAGGTGACAGGGCCACACCGCTCAGTGCCGGACGGGGTTGCCTGGAGCTCTGCTGTCAGTTCCCGGCCACCTCCCCCCAGCCCATTAGCAAAAGCGGAAATCAGCCCCAGAGCCTCAGCGCCCCTGGAAAGACTAGCTACCCTGGGAAGGTGGGCACCCGTCTGGAGGGAAATGTCTAGATTCAGCCACAGGTAACAGGATCCCCTCTTCCCCCACCAACTTTGGCTTAAATAACTAGGGACTTGACCTTGCTTTCATCCTGAGAAGTCTAGAGAGGGGCGGTTGCTGGCGTCACCTCCTCACCCAAGGATGTCAGGGCCAAGGTCTTGCAACTGACTTTCCCTTTTGTCACGGTCACCTCATGGCCCAGAGGCTCACCCTACCTCTAGGTTTTCATCTGCGTTCCAGGCAGGAAGAAGGGGGTGAGCTAGCCTAGCCTGCCCTCCTTACAAAGAGCTTTCCTGGAAGGTCCCCTGTGACTTCCGTTGTCACCTTGTTGGCCAGGACCATGTCATATGGTTCTCCCACATCTGCGAGGAGTCTGGGGACATGCCCCCCCCAACAAAATAGGGCTCATTTAGTAAAAAGGAAGGCTAGGGTGGGTTGAGATGGCACTTGGATGTCCCTGCCACAGTCAGAGATGAAAACCAGGGTTCATCCTAACCCTCTCTGTCCCGGTCTCACACCCCGAGAGCAGAACTTGGAGACGTTCACCCTTGGACTGTTGAGAATGACCCTCCACCACTGCCTGCCACCTGCCCATTGCTGACGGGGCCCCTGAGTCCCTGGAGTCCACCCAAAGGTACTGCAGATGTTCTTCTTGCAAGACTTGGGAACAGACACATACACTAAGTGTCCCAGCTTGCCCAAGTTTGTGCCTGGAGGCAACCCGCCCCCCTCAGCTCTTCGTGCTGGCGGTGTGGGCGCAGGGCTAGGCTTTTTAACACCTGTGTTTGGATGCAGCCCAGGAAATGCACACTTGCTATAATTTCTTCTTGAACTCGAGGAGCTCCTCGATACAAATCCTGGAAATACAGAATCTTCTGAGCCTGTTCAGACCAGCCCCCCTCGTTTTTAGCTGACAATCGAGGTCTCGGAAGAGAAAGGGAGGGACACCCCCTGGGTGGCTCCCATCACCCTACTGCTAGCCCCCATGGGCCCCTCCTGCAGAGGGCCAGAATCAAAGGCCTTAAAACCAGCCATCATTTCTCCCTTAGGTCCAAACAAAAGAAATGCCTTCTGTCTGTCAAAGTAAGAACAAGGAGGAATTTGTGTCGCAAAGGACAATAAAAACAAGCTCTTGGCCTAAAAGCAAACCTTATAGGAGGCACCCCAAGCCTTAAAGCACAGTTGGCAGGACCCAGCATCTGCCAGCACCTGCCTTTTAGTTGTCATGGTAACATGATAGTCCCCTACCAGAGACAGCAATCGCATGGGGAGACCTCAATTTCCCCAAACGGTCCTGGGCTTCCTCTCCGGAATGCTTACTTCTGAGCTCAGCAACCAGGGACCTGAGGCTCATCCATTCCAGGCACCTCTGTGGGGATGAGGGACAAAAGCCTGCAGTCCCTATTCCTGTTCTGATGACAAAGGGAGGGAAGGAAACATAAACCGAGGGCCTGCAACATGGCCCTGACATTTTCTAAAAGCCTATGCTATGGAGTCACCATCTTGTGTTCAGATGCTGGCACCAGAGCACAGGGAGGGTTAGCAGCCTGCCTAAAAGCACACAGCGAGTTGGTGAGTGGTGCGTTTGGGACTTGAACCCAGGGCTGGCTGGCTCCAAGCCCGACACACCTTCCACCACGCTGTGGAACTCTCCTTTGGCCCCAGTCGCTTTTCTTTCCTTTGTAGGCCCCAGGCGGCTGCTGCATTGGCAGCTGGTTGGCTAGTTGGAGGGAGACATTCCCGAGCAGGGGCTGCAGGACATTCTTCCCATGCCCACTCCCGAGGGTGACCCCAACCACCATCAAGAGCTGGCAACACCAGGACAGAGTGTGGGGGCGGGGGGAAGGGCAGGTGCTTACCATCTGTCTGCCCTCCCCCTGGGAAAACAGAGACAGGCCGCCGCTGGCAGGGGCAGGCAGAGGACAGAGCCTGCTCTGTGAGGTCACTGCCTGCAGAGCAGCTCCAGGGCCTCCCCTGGGAGAGACAAAGAGGCAGTGGCCGTGCGTCTTCCAGAAGTTTTGTCAGAGAAGAGGAAGCGGACAGGGGAAGTTGTGTGTGCGCGTGAGTGGGGTGTCTGTGTGTGTGCATGTGTTTGACTGTGGCATGTGTGTGTGCACGTGTGTGTGTGTGTGTATGCTACACACATCTCCATGCCCAAGCACAGCTGGGCAGCTCTTGCTCCCATCCCTGGGCTTTAGGACAACGGAGACCACGGCCCACGGTCTCTGGAACCCAGGGAGACCACACCGCCCAGGACATTTCCCCTGAGGTCCAGCGTTTTATGCCTCTTACGGGAGCAACTGGTTGTCCTCCCTGACGTTCTCCACGTAGGGACTGGGGGGAGGCCGGCTGACCCCTTACATCTCTGTCATCTGGAAATTTCCTCGGGCTGGTTTGGAAACAATATCCTCTCTTTTTCTCAGGATAGCAAATAACCTCCTATGCAGGAGGGCGAAGATCTCTCTTAAGTCTCGTGTGTGTGTGTGTGTGTGTGTGTGTGTGCGCACGTTAGTAAAAACACAAGTTTCCAATACCAGCTTTGGAAGAATGAATACTTTCCCCCTCCATTTCAAGTCCAAGAGATCAGCCTCCTCCATCCAACACATCCAACCCTGATGGGTTTGTTCGTTTCATTTGTCTTCCCTCCCGAGCCAGGGAGGGCTCAGGAACCAGAGCGCCCCATGCCTGCTCTGACACCCAGCCTGCAGGCATCAGCCGGATCCCGCTCTCACTCTACCCTAAGCCGAGTCTGCGTGAGCAAACTCACCCATCTTTTGCACCTGAAGACTTGGCCATAGTAACCTGACACTGACCAGTTGTTCATGTGGCTGGAACGGTGCGGCTTGTGCTGTGTGGACCAGCAAAGGCGTGGGGTGTGTGTGTGTGTGTGTGTGTGTGTGTACGTACACATGTGTAGATACAACATAAATGGTTTCTGATGTCAAAAGCAAACTAATTTCATAGTTTAAGTGTTCTATTATGTAAACAGTGTGCAGAGGGACCATATTCACTCTTGTCATATTATTTGTGATTGTAAAACATGCATTTGCAATAAATTAAGCTTTCTGGGAAGGAGGTCTTGGAGCCAAATGACTTGTTTGGGAACATGTGTGTGTTATCTCGGTTCATATCAAGTCCAAAGCTGACTGAGAGCCTTCCCTGCCTTCCTGGCTTTGTAGGGAGGAACACAGGGACCCCTCGTTTCTTCTCAGTGCTGTATTTTATACTCATGTTGACGTTTCCATCCCCTTCTTTTTGTGCACGTTGGAAGTAGCAGTGTTCTAAAAGACGGTTTGACGTTTTTGTTGTTGTTTTATATATTTTTTAAAATGCATCTGCTTTATGTTTGGAAATAAAAATCTCTATTTTGGTCTATGAAATACTGTTTGGTTTGGAAATTCTTTTTTTCTGAAGGAAAGGGGTGACTGAAGAGGTTAGGAGGAGGAAGGTGGCATGTGGCCGAGGCTGACTCGGTTTTAAACTCTGACTTGCAGTTCATGCAGAGGTTGACCCAGATGCAACAGCAACGCTCCGTCCGATGTGAACCTCAGCGTCACCTGGGAGCAGCTTCAGACATTCTCAGCGTCTCCCCAGACCTCCTCAGCCACAACCCGGGGGTGAGGTTTAGGCCGAGGGGATTTTGAAAATTCCAGAATGTACTCTGAGTAGAGAAACAGGCACCAGAATAGATAGATGCAGGCACTCTCGGGGTAAGGCGAGGCCTCTCCCGCCATTTCCCTCCCACCCCAGGGCTCGAAACCCCACTAAGAAGACTGTTTGTTTCCCAAACAGTCCTTGGGTTTGGGGATCTGGTTTCCCAGACAAGAGATCACCAGAAGCTTCGGGAGAGAAGGGTAGGACTCTGCCAGGTGCAGAAGGAGGACACACAGCCTGGCTTTCCTGGACAGGTCTAAGAAACCGGCAGGTGAACCCAGGACTTGCCACACACTAACGAAGCCTCCTAGCAATGGCCCTGGTGTGCCCAGAAAAGGAAACTTTATGTCCAGAATCTTCTGCTTGTTAAGGGACAGAAGCGTACACTTCAGAACACTTTCCTTCAAAAAGATTTTAAATAAAAAGGTTTTGCCTCTCATATAATTTATTCTCCCAAATGAAAATTTTTTAAAAATCAGCCATTATTTTAATAATGCTTGTAATACTTTCCCTAAGCTTTGTTTCCACATCTGTTATCTTAAGAAACCCTTCTCGGCCTTGGGGAGGAGAGAGGGAAGGGGCGCTTGGGTGAGAAGCATTTCCCCTGAAACCCTCGTTCCTCACCTGGCTGCTGAAGGAAACATAAAAAGTCTCTACGTTAGTCCAAGTGGAGTCCAGAACCGTGTGTGAGAAATACCTGGAACCTTCTAGATTCAGGACTGCTTCAGTGGTGCATGCCCTGGAGTTAAACACTAATCAAATCGATCACTTGAGGTATTTTTGGTTGGTTGTTTTTTTTGTTTTTTTTTTTGAGACAGAGTCTCACTTTGTTGCCCAGGCTAGAGTGAGTGCTGTGGCGTCAGCCTAGCTCACAGCAACCTCAAACTCCTGGGCTCAAGTGATCCTTCTGCCTCAGCCTCCCCAGTAGCTGGGACTACAGGCATGCACCACCTTGCCCGGCCAATCCTTTCTATATATATATCAGATGGCCAATAATGTCTTTCTATTTATAGTAGAGACGGGGTCTCACTCTTGCTCAGGCTGGTTTCGAACTCCTGACCTCGAGCAATCCTCCCACCTCGGCCTCCCAGAGTGCTGGGATTATAGGTGTGAGCCACCGCGCCCAGCCTGTCGCTTGAGTTTTTGACCAGGTGAAGCCATTCTGCAGAGAAAGAACAAAAGATGGGAAAGCCCGTCTCTCGGGAGGGCGGGCAGTGGTCCTTGTGGAGATAAAGTCCCCAGGGCCACAGCTCACACCGCTGGCTGTGTGGACGGCAGAATCACTCTGCACTGTCAGGATGCAGCAGGACCAGTGCTTGCTACAAGGAACTGACAACTGAGAGAGGTGATTCCACCCAGCGTTTCTGGATCCATCGTCCAAAGTCTCGGAGGAGCGCCAAATATCCTCACGGAAACTCTTGTGACTCTTGTCCATACTTCACCTTCTAAGTAGCTGTCCAAAAAACAAAGTGTATTCCGCGAAGAAAGACAGAGCTTTGCCCACTGGGATCCTCTGCCCCTCAGGTCTATGTGGAATTGATTATGGTGTCGCCCGGTTTAGCTGATTTGGGGAAGCCTTAATCCGCTCAGCGCAAAGGCGTGCCGCGGATCATTTGTGTTCACTAAACATGCTGTACGTGTTTATTTCTACGGCAGGACCATCAAACCTGGGGTCAGGAACTTCAGGCTTAAAACACTGTTCCGGTGAGAAAAACTAGATTCACCCTCCCTTGTTTCAATTTAGCACCTTTTTGGGGAACCTAACCTATTGTGAAAGTGACATTAAATGCACGCGGTTTCTCAATCTTTACAGAGCTCTCTCATATTCCTGGCTGCGTGATTCATTCATTTTTATGACTACGTGACTTTTTTTTTTTTTTCCCCAACCCGGTGTCCCATGGAAATAATTATCTTACCTCTGTTTTCATCTGTGGCTTCCAAACCCAGCCGTGACACGTTGAATTGGAGAGATCCGTCATCCTTTCCCGGAATCCCCTCGGCGAGAATGTGATCCGGCTACTTGGCCTTGCCGGCTTCTCCTGTCGTGGCCTCGCCAGCCCTGCCCCCCCTCACCCCCCACCCCCGCCCATGTCTCCATCCTGCCTCCCCCCACTGCACTGCAAGAGGAGCAGCCCCGACGAGCTCAGGGATTCGGTGGCTGCAATTTCACATTGCAATGGCACGCCGGCATGCATCCTGGTCCCCACGCCCAGCTGCTGCTCGGTCCCCACAGTGGCCTTCTTCTGCCAATTTCTAACAGGAGGGCTCCTCCACCAATGAACGTCAAGGGAAATTGCTCTAAATCGTTCTGAGACTCGTCCTGTCTCTCATAATGGTTCCTGTCCTTGAGCACGTGCAAATAATTGAGGCCTTTCTCCTTTGGAACGAGGTGATGGTGTAAGAAAAAGAGAAGTAAAAAAAAAAAAAAAAAAAAACTAAATGCAATGAATGTGGTGTCCTGGGATGCATCCTGAAACAATAAAAGGGTATTAGCAGAAAACCCGATGAAACTCCAAAGTTGTTTCATTAACACTTTTGTACTGGTGTGAATTTCTTGGTTTTAACAAATGTCTCACAGATATTAACCTCAGGGGAGACTGGGTTAAGGGTAATGGGAACTTTGTGGTATTTTTGCAACTTTTCTAAAAGGATTCCAAATAAAAATTTTGTTTATTCACAGTTTTTTTCAGTTTGTTCCACTTTATTTTATCCTTATTTTCATTAAAATGAAATGAATAGGATCTTATAAATAATGTTTTACCCAGTAGATGATAAGTTCTGGATTTTGAAAAGCATCAAACATTGAAGTAAGTAACTGAGTTTTCAGTTTTTACTGACTTTATAATTAAGAAATAGTAAGAATTTCCACACTAAATAATAGCATGTTCTAAATAAGATTACGCCTCTCTTCCAAATACCAAAATTCAGTAGTATCTAGGACAAGCACTGCATATTTGAACACTAGAAAAATATCTATTTACTTCTTTTTACATCAGCATACTTTTTTCACTTTATAATTTTTAAAATTAACAAATAATTGCACATATTTATAGGGGACATAGTGATGTTTTGATGCATATTATGTATAGTGATCATATCGAGGTAATTAGCTTATCCATCATCTCAAATATTTATCATTTCTTCCTGTTGGGAACATTGAATATCCTCCTTCTAGCTATTGGAAACTATATAATATGTTACTGTTAATTACAGTCATCCTACAGTGGTAGTGAACACTAGAACTCATTTCTCCTATGTAGCTATAATTTTTTTATCCTTTAAAAAAAAATCTCTTCTTATCCATCCCTTCCCCCAACCCTTCCCAGCCTCTGGTATCCTCTGTTCTACTTTGTACTTCTAGAGATTAACTTTGTTGAGCTTCCACATATGAGTGAGAGCATGTGTTGTTTAACTTTCTGTTCCGGGCTTACTTCACTTAACGTAATGTCCCTCCAGTTTCATCCATGTTACTATGAATGACAGAATTTCGTCCATTTTCATGGCTGAATAGTATTCCATTGTGTATATGTACCTCATTTTCTTTATCCATTCATCTGTTGTTGAACACCTAGGTTGATTCCGTATTTTTTTGGCTATTGTGAACAGTGCCGTCATAAACATGAAGGTGCTGGCATCTCTTCAACATAATGATTTCCTTTCCTTTGGGTAAGTTCCCAGTAGTGGAATTGCTAAAAATGTTATTTTTAGACAGACGTTTTCTTATGGCCTTGGGAAAATGTGAGGGTTCTCTTTCACTTGTCACCTTAAAAATGGTGGTGAATCTGTCCTAGGCACAGGCGTGGGGTCAGCCCGACTGGTGTTTGGCTCCAGGCAACTGCGTCTACAAAGCACTGGACGTTGGGAAAGTTCTTCCATCTTCCCGAATTCTCACCTCGGAGGGATGTGGTTGCGAGGACTGGATGAGATCGCATGAGCAAAAGGCCCGCACGCAGCACGCAGCACGCAGCACGCAGTCAATAACTGGGAGCTGCTGATCCAACCGCATCCCAACTGCCTTCTCCGAGCGTGCTCAGCAAGTTCGGGAGAAATATCGTTTGGGTTCTCTAGGATACTTATTCCGGCCCCAAAGTACTGCCCCACCACGGCCGCTAGTAGTCCCTTATGGACTTCAAATCTCCTGGGGGTACTTGCTGGGGGCAGATTCTAGAGTCAGCCAGGGCTCAGTTGCAGACAACAGAATCTAACTAGTTTAAGGAGAAAAAAAATTTATAATAGGGTATAAAGGGGCTCATAAAATTGTTGAAGGCACTGACTCTACTCTGGGATTTCAGGAACAGCTCGGCCCCAGCACCGAGCCGCCGCCTCTTCCGTGCCCGAGAAGGCTGCTGCCACCACTGGGGAAGCTGCCCAGCCCGGAGACCCCGCTGCGGCCCAGTACAGGGTCTTGTTTCTGCTGCTCGGCCACAAATGGACGTTCCCCGTCAGGCTGGCTCTTTATGAACTTCCCTTCCTTGCTGAGTATCGTGGGGGACGATGTGAGTCGGAAAAATCTGAGTCACATCCAGAGCATGGCAGCAAAGGGGTCAGGGCAGTGGCATTTTACAAACTTTACGGTTTTTCGGCACTACAGGCGACGTCTGCCATGGCAGTGGTGGGGAGGGGCATTTGTCATCCTTCCTTGGGCCTCGGTTTCTTTACCTGTAAAAGTGGGGGTCTGCTGTCAGCCTGGGGCTGTGGCCCCCCATGCTTACAGAACCCAGCTAGG